TTTCGGCTAGAATTGAATGATGTAGATTCTTGAATGTTTGCATAATCAATTATTAATAGCTAATTGAATGTATCTGCCCATTAATCGGCCCCTAAAACCTGTTATTTAAGAAATTTAATAAATGAATGTCACGTGCGCGTCACGACTGCCAACCATAAGCGCTACCATATACTAGTTTGAACTAAGTTTTTGCTAGTCCCGACCACATATAGTAGGTTTTCTAGTAGTCATACTAGAAATTCCTACCAAAGTTCGTCCTACCCTTCACTCAATATACCATCTTTCTTAACCCCTTGCAAGGGCTTGTGTAGGTATGCGATGCGCATCAGGCTTCAGGCCTTCGGCCTATAGCCAGATACACAACCACTTAACCTATGATGCTTCATGAGCTTGAGAATCTATAGCCCATTGCAATGTGCTTTTGGCTATATGTTTCAACTAAAAACAACTTATTATATACTATTTGGTTGCATTTCATTGAAAGTATCCACGGCCGGCTGACGGCTGGCTGCCCACAGTTTGCCACGGCTGTGGGCGGCTGTGGCTGTGGAGCCACGGCTGCGGGGCGGCTAGGCTGTGGAAAATTGCAGCCGTGCAGAACTCTACCCTGCAGGCAGAGGGCATCGAGGTGCTCTAACACCATCCCTACTCTCCAGACGTTGCACGCAGTGACTATTGGCTGTTCGCAGACATGAATAAAATCTCCGGGGCCGGAGGTTCGGCTCGCGGTCTGCACTCGGGTCTGCTTTTTACCAGTATGGCGAAAAGACCCTCACTCAAAGCTTCCGTGCGGCCATCCGGGACCTGGCCAAGCGATGGGAACGATGCGTTCGCCTGCAGTGTCCTTTTTCATAAAGATTCTACAATCCGATTGTAGTTTGTACATTTGTAGTTTTCAAAGTACAATTTTACAAACTACTACTTTTCATAAAGCCTTGACATGCGGCGTCAATAGAATTGTACTTTCGATCCGGGAGCGTAGTTTTGCGGGGCTTCGTCTCCATGGCAACGGAGTAAACAAACACTTCTGCAACAGTTTTCAATGCTGTGTTGCAAATTGCGTATGGTGTGGTGATAGTTTTTTGCAATTTTTAAAAGAAATGATTATTGATAAATAACTTGAATTGCTTTTAGGGATCAGCCATCGCTTTGCACATGCATAGCTAGAAATTTTATGCTGAAAGTATTAACATTTTCAACATTGCAATCATTTCAAGATGTGCTTGTTTCGAGATTTGGTATCTGGGTAAGTCCAACAAGTCATTAGTTTCTTGAAAGAATGCTTCATGAATTGTTCAGACAATAATGCAAAAATGGCTGAAAAAGGTTTAGGTTAAGCCTATCCGAGTTATAGAGTGGTTATTATGGATATTGTTGACCGTCATATTATGTGACCTCAAAATGTGACCTCAAATTGCTTTGAGCCCTGAATTACCCGTTTTGATAAGAAATACAGCCTAGTGAAACATGAAGCAACAAGAAAGCCAGCGAATCAAATGCCAAAATCAAAATGCAAGAGCATTGTGACGAAGCGAGAAGCAAATAGATGGAGGCTGGAGCCACCCAGGAGACGGGATGAAAACTGATAAAAATACAAGCTTTCCTACTGCGTGAAAGGAAATGGGCATGGTGCATAGGCTTGAAGAGAAGGTGCAAGGTCATTCCATCAGTGTTGGTTGAAGAAACTGAGCCGGAAACAAATAGGACATGAGCGTAGGCTGCTCTTTTTTCCCAGAGAACTTTATCCGCAAAAAAAAACTTATGTTAATGCAAGATTATGAGCTATATTAAAAAAATGTTACATGAGTCGATCGATGGTAGGTATAGTACCTAGGCATAATGTATTCAGATATTGATATCAATAATAGCTATGTATATATTTATCCTTCACTTTTAGATATTATTCGTGAACTTATTATGACTACCTATACTGGTAAAAGGTTCGTATGAATAAGGAAAATAAATTGTTGATAAAATGCCGTCTTTTTGTCGAATTATAAACAATGAATAGGCCCGAACGATGCTACGAATTTCAGCGCTTTAATTCCTTCCGTTCAAAAACGCCATTGGCGTGGGTCAGCTGGATCGAGGGGGGTCGGGTCGAGCCGTTCAATGCCGGCATTTTTTCGGAAATGCGGCACACATGAAGTTATATATAAACAGGAAAATGATGAAAATAACCAGAAAATAACCTTTTGGGCGAAAAACGAGCGGGAACAAAGTTAACACCTCTTCTTTTTGCTTTTTGCACATGCAGTGGGGGCTACTCACATAGGTCAAGAGTATCCGACCTTTGGTAGAAGGGATGCAGCTACCCTACAACAATTACCGCAATACAATCGCCCTAGCGGCTGCTGAGATATGAGCCTCTCAAAATCACTGCTTTTGCAAAACAGCTTGAAAATGAACACCCTTGACTTTTCACGTGGCACGCAGTAGCGGCGGAACACCTTCAATTAAGGGGGGGGGCACTGCCGACTTTTGGTCCCATTCTTTCCATGCAACGTCCATAGGGCTAATGATAAAATAGCAAAATCAAAGGGGGGTACGGTGCCCCGGTGCCCGCCCCGTTCCATCGCCTATGGTGGTACGTGCCACGAGGGTTTCTGAAATGCATTAGGAGTAGTCAATTACGGGGTAGAAGGAATAGGACTACCCAACAAAAAAGACCGAAGGCCAATCGGTCCAGCGGTTGCTTAGATATTAGCCCGGCAAAGGTGTTACTGGCCGGGCCGGACCGGGCGGCTCAATGCTGAGATTTTTTCGTTATATTGAAAAGAGCTCGCTTCGCTCGCTGCGCTCTCTCGCTCAGTAATAATACATATCGTGTATCTGAGCATTGGCTATTATTGAATTAAATTATTAGCAACGTTAATCTGATTGGTATGCTTCATCTCCGAAATTCTACACACGGTTAGGGCGTTGTAGATTTCGATTGTATTTTCCGTCAAGGAAATCCCAAAATCAGAGGAACCGTTCTTTTTATGAAACAGATTGCTAGTTTTTTGGCTGATAATTGCCGAATGTGAGTTGTAGGTTTGTGGAATTGTAGTTTGTACTTTCGGATTGTACTTTTTCCTTTATGAAACAGATTTGTACAATCGAAAGTACAAACCTACAAACTACAACTACAATTCTACAATTCCAGGCTTTATGAAAAAGGACACAGGGCGAGTTCGTCGAGCCGTGAGCCATGTTTGGTTGAGATGTGCCAAAAAATAAACGAGTTATATCAAAACGGAACTTACTTATTGAACATACTGGTACGTTATCAAAACAGTTTACGCTACATTGACTGCTACGTTACGGTAACGTTGTTTAGAAAACGAACAAACGATCCGACCACACGGGACCAAATTGTTATGAATGAGTCGATGTAATGAAGTGAAATATATTATGATGTGAATGAATGAAGTATAAACGAACGAAGTTATGATTGAGGTTCGAGACGAAGCGATATGAAATCGATTGAATGAATGATATGGTATAATTGAATGAGTCATCGAGGCAGCACATAAATCGAATCGATATGCAGTTGCACGATAAAACGAGACTGTTATACTTATTTTGACATAAATTTAGCACCACTTTTTTAAGTTCGCGAAACTGCGCTCGCGCGCTAATCACATTAGCCCGCGCCCTGCTGAGGGGGTGTTTGAACTGTTTGAAAGGGGGTTTTTCGCAAATATCTGAAAACGGCGGCGCTGGCACACCTTATATATCTTTTCTACATATGTTTTGAACATTTTAAACCCAGGTCACTTAAGGTCAGGTCAAGTGACCTCACCACATACAAATGTTTCAATGTCTACCAAAGCTACACCGAGTGACCGATCGCTTTGAAACTTTTAGAGATTGATAAGAGCAATCTTAGGTACCAAATGTGTATATTTGAATTTTGTTATCGATGACCAAAGGTCAGGTCAATTTTGCGACCTCCCCATTAAAGTCAATGGGAGAAAATTGAAAGTCACCTTTTTTAGACGAAAGTCATTATAAACACTCTAAAACACTGCGTTGCTAGTATCTTTGACACACTGAACATGAAAATGGCACCCATGACCCCTTTTTATGCCCCTGAGGTCAGTTCAGGTTACCAATGGTATTTGACTGTTTCTCGCGAATAACTTTTGATTGAGGCATGCAAGAGCGGTGAAAACACCTTAGTTGTGTTTGGCTCGACGGTACGGATCGACTGATATGCAACTTGACCATCACTGGTCAGGTCATGACCTTGACCTGAGGTTAAATTTTCAAGTTGACCTTTCAAGGTCAAGTGATAGTGCATTCGACGCGTTTTGACGAGAGAAAGACGATGCTGGTAAAAGGAAGTTCGTAAATGTTATTGCGGAAAAACGGTTTCCGGAAAAATCGACTATTTTGGCAGTTTTTGCCCCCTGCAGGCAAAACTGTTGAGGGTAGGTCAAATCTGAGATAATTACTCAGAAAGACCGTTAATAGGGCTATCAAATGCGCTTTTCTACGGCGCTGTAGCTTTATTAGTTTCCGAGCTGTTTGTCGATTTGTTGAAAATTGTCGACATCTGATCTGCAAATCGGCGAATTTTGGCCTTCAATGACCTCTGGTGACCTGACCTTTGACCTTACCAAAAATGACTGGAGTGATTTCTTCCTAATTTTTGACACTCTTTCGAACGCAGCCTTTTTCGTATCGCTACGTGGCCCAGGAGCCGAGTTAGGAGGGGGAAGTTCAACCCCCCCCCCCCCCCCCCAGCAGGGCGTGAAAATCCAGGACCCCCAGCGGGGCGCGGGTTAACACCGCTACTGGCGATAACAATTGCAATAGAATTGTATGCCATCGGGCGCGGCTGAACGTGCCAGACGAGATAGTGTTAAAAGGTTGATAGCCACCAAAGACCGGAGCTGGACAAGAGTTGGTATGTTTTTTTACTGTCTTGGCTGCATGAGCCCAATAGGTGGGGTGGGTAGCCGGGGCAGTGGTCCATGTGACGTGACGCGTCCGAATTGTTTGCAGTTTCGGCCGCCTCTCAGTGGTGGCAGGACCGTCGCGGCCGCCCGGGTCAACGGCAACCGAACGCTGCGCCGATACTGCCAAAAACCCCTCCGACCAGGTAATTAAACGCAAGGCCGTATATAGGATTGAACGGCTCTATATCTATAAATTACTCACCGCCATTGTTTGCCCTACGTTTCCTTCATTGGATTGGTAAGCTGTAGTGTACGGGTTGTCCCAAAAGTATGTAACTTTAGTATTTAATTTGGTTATATATCCGGAAATATATTGTGGATTAAAGAAAGAATGTACAGCATAAGCAGGAACAATTAAAAAAGAATTGATATGATTTAAAATGAGTTAATGTATTGGTTCGTAACCATATGTTTACTGCTTTTCTGCATGGCTACCATTTTGGGTCGCGTGCATGAATAAACTGCGTTTGACTTCCACCGCCATTCTATTATTCCATGAAACGGTCATCAAATGCCCACAATTGCGGTGTGAAAGGGCACACAATTTATTTAATGAAATGTTTTGCATATTCTGTCACAAAACAAGTTAGGTTCATTCATTGGAATGGCCTTTTTAGCCAATTACATGTGATGCAATTTACGCTTCTGGAAATTGTGCTAATTATAAGGTAAACAGAGCCAAAAAGTACTTTTCTGTCATCAATAAATACCCACCTCGAAGCTATTCACTTGTCATTATGTTGCCCGTTTTGTTTTGGCCTTTGTATGTTGACAGATCACATTTACCTACAGCAGTCTTCATTGACCAATCATTGTAAAACAGAGTGTTAAGGGAGTTTTGAGGTATCTTGTTACCCATATAACTTGAGATGTGTTAAAGATAAAAGCATGAACTTGCCAGAATTTTATGTGGAATTCGTTGTTTTCCATGCATTCTGATGGAAAACTTTATGAAATTTTATTCAGATACTATCTTTTATTTTTTCTTCCCTGCCCCTTAGCACCCCACTTTCACCTCAAAATATGCATGTATCTGGAAAAGAGGAAGAGCATGAGGAATGAATGGGTGGATACTAGGGTGACCCGCGTGCTCCGCAACGCGAAGAAGGGCTATTTTTGACCCGTGGGTATTGGGTTGGTCCGTGTCGATTTCGTTGGTATGCATTTCGTTCAATTCCTTTTTGACGGCCAAGCATTTTGTAATAACACAAAAAAGATAAGTCGCATCGAGGTGCCCGTGTCGTATTATCATGCGTTCTACTTTAGAATGATTCGAAAACTGGCGCGAAGTCTTTTGAGGGCCATCGATGAATTTCGCTAAAAATGACAATGTAATGGTTTGGAACATTTACATTTTTAAGAATACTGTTGCTCATCATGCAAAAATAAAGACTGAACCTCGGACAAAATTGAATACTCTTTCCAACGGTGCCATTTTTAATTGCCAGAGATATCAGATCATGGAGCGAAACCCGTGTGATTAATTAAGTGGCACAAAATTGACAAACACCATTTTCTTCCGTGATTTGTACCACCTTGATTTGGTCAATCAGCTTTTCAAAATTTTCTCATGAGAGGCGGTACATTTCTCATGCCAACAGGCGTTGTTCCAACCATTGACCTATAATAAGTATAGATAGACAGACTACACTGGCTTAATCAGCGCCTGAAGGCCGTTCCCGCTGAGCGACACTAGCGCCACCGTACGTGTAAGGGCACGAACTAATGACACAATGCTTTGTCTATGGGAAAAACGCAAAAGTTTATCAACTTCTTTCGCGTAACTAACACGACGGGACGGAACGAGACTGCATCTACAATGTAGAAGCGTCCAAGCTTAATCACTTGAACATAGCACAAAGTCATAGGGCGAGGGACACGGCACGTGCCACGTGCCAACTAAGTGGTGACAAATTTGTTCGATCAACAAAAACTTTACGACTGGGTTGATTGAGCTGAAACTTGGCATGTCGTTGGACATGCAAATGATGATGCATTTCCACGTGTCACGGTTTGGGTGCTGCTGCACGTGCGCACGTGCAGGGTACGCTTCCAGATCTCGAGAACGGCCGATTGCGCTCAAATTTGGTACGCCGTTAGGGACCGTTTGACAGGGTGCCGTGCACAAGTCAGTTTGGGTCCAGCTTGCACGTGCGCACGTGCAGGGGTCGCTTCCACATCTCGAGAGTGGCTGGGCAGATTGTGCTCAAATTTGGTACACCGTTAGGGACCGTTTGGCAGGGTGCCGTGCACAAGTCAGGTTGGGTCCAGCTTGCACGTGCGCACGCGCGAGGGGTCGCTTCCACATCTCGAGAACGGCTGGGGAGATTGCGCTCAAATTTGGTACACCGGTAGCGACCGTTTAGGAGGGTGCCGTGCTCAAGTCCATTTATGTCCAGTTTGTACGTGCAAACAAGTGGGGCCACTTTCACATCTCGAATGAGCGGCTTTGCCATTGCACTCAGAATCATCATTTCTAGATCCGTTAAAGGAGCTTTACTATCACGTAGTTTGGCAGGTCTCATGCGCGTTTCTCTTCATGATTGCGAATTCGATTAATTGGTACAGGTTGTTAGTTGATTTAACATTATGTATTGTGTATTTAAGATGAAGCTCAGCAGTAACATTCATGGCATCATCAAAGCATCGTCAAAGCATATGAAGACAGAAAAATAATGCTAATGGTAGTACAGGGTGGGCCAAAATGAAGTACCTTCAGTTTTCTTTCGATAACATGTATATTTACAATGGTACAATGGTAAACCAGGTATATTTCGAATTACAATGAAATGGCAAAACTCACTGCGCACTATTGTCCGCATCTGTCAGCCGCTCACACCTCACAGGATGTGCTCCAGGTGGGCACCGCGGCGCTGCTTCACCAGCGGCAGACGAACTTCCTTGAGATGGATGATGGCCTTGTCGACCATGTCAGCGGGGATACGGTCCACCTCCTGGACTATGGCGGTCTTGAGCTCGTGAGTGGTTGCCGGTCTTCCCGCATATACCCGGTCCTTAAGATATCCCCACATGAAAAAGTCCAGGGGACTCAGGTCAGGAGAGTGAGGGGCCCATGGAACGGCCGACTTCAGGCTGATGTGTCGATCCGGGAAGTGACTTCGAACCCAATCCATCGATGCGCAAGCAGTGTGGGGTGTGGCACCATCCTGCTGGAACCACTCTTGGTTACGCCTGAGTGGCCTCTCCCCGAGTTCTCTCCAGAACGGCTCCAGCGCTGTGCTGACATAGCGAGCAGAGTTGATCGTTGTCGCCACTTCGTTTTCATTTTCAAAGAAGAAGGGACTGATAGTTCCCCCGCCGTGCCGCATCGCCAACCACGCCGTAACCTTCTCGCAGTGAAGAGGCCTGCAGAGGACCTCATCTGGTGGTTCCTTGCCCCAGTGCACAGCATTGTGGGTGTTGACATATCCGTTCAGCCAGAAGTGAGCCTCGTCACTGAACCACAGCTTGCTGAACACACGTTGGTTGTGTTCGAACCACTCGGCCATGGCGACCCGACGCTCCCTGTCGCATGATGATAGCTTCTGATGTATTGAAAGCCGGTACGGGTACAGTCCAAGATCTTCTTTCATGATTCTCCGCAGAGTTGTCCTGCTGATATTCAGTGCCTGAGAGCGACGCCGAGTGGATCTTTTTGGGCTCTGAAGGGTAGAGGCGGATACCCGTTGAATGTTGGCCTCAGATCTGACCGTGCGACCTCTCCCGGGCGGCTTGGTTTTTACCACCGTTCCGAAATTTCGAAACTTAGCTACCCACTTCTGGATAGACTTGTTCCCCGGTGCAAGGTCGAGCCTCCGATGGTCCAGACCGAACTTCTTTAGATACTGCCGCCTGGTCTCATCAAGAGAGTTCGTCAAGACATAAGTCTCAACGCAAAACGATTTTTGTGTGTCGGACCACATTTTTCAAGTGAAGTTTTCTGATAATCTATCTTGCCATATGGTTTGCAGTCGGCATGCGAAAAATCACAAATGCAGCACGTGCGCTTGAAAAGCACGAGACAAAAATTTCAAGGTACTTTATTTCGGCCCACCCGTAGAGACTAGGATGAGTGGCGATATACTCATACCAATCTGAGTGCACACAATGGTGCATCATTTCATTCACCCATGAGCCTCTTTAACCCGCGCCCGAGTGGGCCTTTCAGTCAGCTTCGCCATAGTGATGGGAGGAGGGGGCCGACGTATTTGTCCACGCCATATTATCTCGCAAAGGAAGAAAGATAGAAAGATGCGGAAAGGGCAGTAGGTAGCTCGCTATAAGAACTTTGAGAATCATCTAGACAATTTTTCAATCAGGTCATCGCTAAAGGTCACTGTTGATCACCAAAAGTTCATGAATTCTGGTTTTCGATTTTAACAACGTTCCACAAAGCAACGCACACACAAGTAAATGAGGGGCCTTCTGCTCTTGAGCACTTATGTTGAGCCACGCAAGAAATAATTAAGCCAGTCATTAGCAGGTCACCCTTGGTAGGCATTTCGACTGTTGCAGTCTTGCTGAGCTTCCATTCAGTTTTCTTGACGGCTCCAGCCTCCATCGTGTTTAATTGCAGTAGCAACTTACAACTTAACTTCGTCAATCTTTTTTACTTTAAATGTTGGCCATAAGTCGGGCTATGTCTGGTTCAGCTGGCAGATGCATTCAGGGGCGTCGTTTTGTATAGGCCTGGTAGGGCCCGAGCCTTACCAATATTTATTTGGGCCCTACCAATGTTCGCTGAGCCCTACCAATCTTTTGTCACTTATCAGTTAATAAAAAATCAAAATAAACAGATAAGCAAATATTAAATAAGCACATATGCAAGTACATAAATAAGGTTCTAGCCACAGTAGGTGCATGTAGCTGACAATGAGGTTTCACGTGTCTAGGACTCCGGTCCTTAATGGATTTTAAGAGGCTCGAAAACGCAATTGGTTATAGAGGTCCATAACTGCCTCTGAGTCCCGCATACCACGCGACCGCCCCTAATAGACCCCGATCCGTCTCCACACCAGCCGCTGGAGGCCCTACACCGACTTCGGAAGGTGCCGCGGTGCTCCAGAATAGGCCATAGGTATATTGATTTGAGTGGGTAATGCAGTCTGATTCCCCAGGGTTCAACGCCAGGTCATTACCGCAT